TGAACACAAAGACGAAAAGAGACATGAAATGCCTTTTTAAGATACCAACCTGGATAAGACTTGTGATTGTAAGTTACTCCCTGTGGTCCTGCCATAGATGAAGAAAGTAAGAGTGAGGAAGTATTGATCATGACAGAGCAGTGAAAACAACCAGTGTGGAAATTTCATGTATATCTTGAGTTTTAAAATTAACTTCTCCCTTAATGTTCTAGTATTCAAAATTATTTAGGAAGTGAACTGTAGGTAATTTAAAACCTGAAACAGTGTTGTCTGGAAAGAATTTCACTTATTTAAACACAACCCCTGAAATCCCATATTCTATCTTTGTGTAAAGAAGAAAAACAGATTTTTAAGTTTGTTGTACATTTCCTCCATCAACCACATCATAACACATTGGACTTCTTATAGAGTTGGATCTATAATGTTTACAACAAATGGATTACACTTAGGAAATGAATATTAGTTATTGCATAGTGACTCATCTCACTTAAAAAGTTATTATCTTTAAAACTGGGGAGTCAGCAATACCTTCCTGGTACTCTAAACAAATGGCAAACAGTGAGTACTGCAAAGCTGAGCCAGTGTGCAGCACACCAGTAAGAGACAGTTTTTGAAAAGTACCCAGCGACAGTACAGAAGTCCAGAAAGCAATGCCTTATGGAGAAGCACTGGTCATTTTTCCCATCCTTACACCAACCAGGTCTCACTCTTACCAACTTCATGCCTCATAAGGGCAAACAGAATGAGATATGTTGACCTAATGAGAACCAGATATTTTTTTCTTCTCTTTCTCCTCCTTCTCCTCCTCCCTCCTCCTCTTCCTCTTCTTCTTTTTGGATACTTGTCATGAAACTAATTTTGTTAGAACAAGCTGCTCTGTTGCCATCAGTTAAAGGATTTTCATCATAAATATTCAAATAGCTCAACTCAGGACTTAAGAAATTCCAGTAAAAGCACGAAAATGCTTCCCATGAACATGAACACTGCTGTGCTGCCTAGGTGAGAGCCCTGGCACTTGCACAGTCTGCGCTGTGTGAGGGCCCCTGTGACACAGCAGGCCCCTGGCGAGCGAAGTGCTTCTGCTGGTTGGCGTTACGTGTTATAGGAGACACAACGATGGCGTTGGTAACTTTTGTCTTTAAGGTAATCACAATACAATAAAGTTGTCCCTGGTTGTTTTTTGTGTTTTTTTAAATAGAATTTTGAAAGAAAGCATTCTCATTTATCTGATAATTATTTATCACTTGTTAACTCATTTTTTCCCGTCTAAATGGCTGTCAAGTGTCTTGTAGGTACTAAGCACGTCAAAATGCAAACATTTAACATGCAGCCCCGCCCCCCAGGAGCATGTCACATCATGTTTGTGATTCCCTCTCGGTGACTCTGATCCCTGTGTCCCAGGGCCCCTAGGGCTTCCTAAGTTTCTGTCTGTATCTTTCATTGGTATTTTGTATGTGCCCAATACTTAAATTAAGTTCATGGTGAGGAAATGCCTTTTGAAAAAGTGGGTAGGATTTGAGGGAAGCATGCAGAGTGAGTAAAAGTTTGCCAGGAAGCAGACAGAAGGACAGTGTTTGGTAGTAGGAACATCTTTCAAGATGACATTTGGCAAAAGGAACAGCAGTGCAGAGGCAAAGATGTGGCAGGGAACTCAAGAGGATTCATGAGTTTCATGTTGTTGGTCCAAAAAGGATGCCGTGGGCCTGGTTGGGAGCGAGGTGAATACGCAGCTCAGGAATGCTCCGGAAAGCCCTTTTAGTTCTGTAGAGAAGAGTAGGTCTCCTGTAG